AGAAAAACGCGCAGGTGGCGAACTCTCTTTCTGGACAATCAAGGTGGTGGCAGACTCACAGAGCCACGTACCTGCATGGCCTTCAAAACGGTTAACCCTTCAAATCTCTCATGTGGGGTGTGAGGCGACCGCCTTGCCCGGTAGCCGTCTCCTGCTTCAACTGCTGCCTGGAATAGAAGGATACGGATGACAGACATTAGGCTGCCATCTCTCCTCCATGGAAACACTACAACCCTGCCTGCTGAGGAGGAAAGAACACATACAGGAGCCCCTACAAGACCCAGGCCTCACCTTTGTCAGCCGGAGAAGGTCCTTACACTCAGACTCCGTCAGCACTCTGTCGAACACAACCCTCTGGGTACCATTCATCCGGCGGGAATCCATCGTGACAGCAATACCCTCAAAAGGCAAAGGACCTGTCAAAAAGCAAGTACAGATAGGCATGAGCGAGCTTTGGACAAGAAGCCCTCAGCCACCAACCCCCAGCCTGGATAAGGAAGTGGAGAGACACTATACGTTCTCTGAGAAGACAGGACAGTTCCCCAGAAGGGCCCATCCCTCGCAGACCTGGGCCACGTGCACCCCTCACATGCTTCAGGGGAACCAGAGCATCAGCTGGGGAAGCTGGCCTACAGTGAGTGCTTCAGGAGCCAGCAGAAACTTGGGGCTTGCTGGGAGAGCAGCAGGGAGCTGGGGAAAGTTGAGTGCACTGTGGATCGCAGCAGCAGAACAGGTCCAGCCTACTGGGGCGAGGCTCTGGAGAAAAGAAGCAGGTAAACACCTCCATCAACCCTCCTTTCGAGCACACATCTTATCCCAGAATGATCTCCAGTGAAGCTTTCTACTTTCTTCAGCCCCAAAGAGAAGCAATGGGTATTAGTCGGTGATTTGATCTTTTGATCTTTGGCCTTTTTTTCCCCCCCCTCTGACCTCTGGATGGTCAGGAATCAGTAATGCCAAGGCACTCAGGCCCTCAGAATGATCTGCTCTCCCATCTGTCACAGCAAAGAACCACCTGGGGTCACTTCAAGCAAAGACTCTACGCCCTGCAAGAGGCTGTGTGTCCACACATAAGAATAGAGGACCAGCGAGAACACGGGACTCTGCACAGCAGCCTATAGCGTTCAGCCACAAATCATTTCGACTTGTGTTTTTCAGGGAAAGACTTGCCCAAGCCGAATAGTCCGTTTCCAGTTTCCATTCCCCCTGCCTCTCTCTTTGTCCCCTTCAGAAAAATGTTGTTTGAAGTTGGGCTGGTGGAGTTGAACCAGGTTTGGTGTAGACACTCCTGCCACACTGAACATCTGCATGTCCACAGGCTTGGCACATATTCAGGCACCACTGCTCTCAGCTTCTCCAGCCACAGTGCTCTTTGAGCTGCCATCCCAGAGATGTACGCAGTGAGATTTTGCAAGGTTACACATGCATCAAAGAGGGAGAAAAGAAACAGTGAGAAGACTTGCTGAGCCATTCGAGTCAGTCTGCATCTATGCTAGCATTCAAATGTCTGAGGATGGAAGAAAAGACAGCACTTAGCCTGACTAAGCCTGGCTGACTGCATCCAAGTCCTTCTTCAAGCTCTTTTACTCACCCCTCTTCTCCCTCTCTTCCACATCCAGAGTTTCCTGCTTTTGCTTCTCCTGATCCTCTCTCGGGAGCAAGGGAAAAAACAGAGACCACGGCTGTCAGTACACAGAGCTATGCCTAAACCTTCTCTGCGGTAGCATTTCACACCCTTCCTGTTCCTGTTTTGCCCATTCCTCAGGATTACTGTTCCTTGTACCACCCTGCAGTCCAACCCACAGATTTCAGTCCTAGTCGACTTGGCCAACCTTACCTGTATTTCTCCTTTAGGCTTTCAGGCACCAGCTCATCTGGAGTCCAAAGATCCTGTAGGAACAAACGCAGACCATTCAGGACACAACAAACTTCTCCCACATTGGATCACGTCAAACAGCCAGTTCCTTGTCCCGCTTCTCCAGTGAGTATCAGACCGATGGTTCTGGCCTGCTTCTGATGACAGCCAGATGGGGCTAATGCATATGGTTACAGCAGCAATTTCAAACTAACTTCAGTCCTGGAGCAGTGGAAAGGCCTTAAAGATCCACCTCATAAGGACTTGGGGGTCCTTCTCATCAGCATCTGATCCTTTCTGGATCACGTGCTACAGAAGTGAATTCTGGCAACTGTCTTGGTGAAATCAGGGCAGGAAGATTAAGATGATACCGTTACTTACAGGGTCGTTAAACGTTCCTCCTAGATGCTCCACTGCATAATAAATCAACTTCTTCTCCATCAAAGATCTCTGCACGTAATGCTGAATACTCTAAGGAAGCAAAGAGGCTGTCAAACAACCACCCCACAACAGACAACCCCATCCCTGTCCAGGGCAGAAACCTGACCCAACACACTGCTGTGCACTACAAAAGCCCGGTTCTGTCCTGAAGGGACCCTGCCTGGTACAGACTGTAAGTAAACTCAGGCTCCTGTTTCTTCAGTCCTGGGCTTGGCACATATCTGCAGTGAAACACGTTTCCCTTTTTGTCTCCTGGACTGTGATCCTGTCGTATGGAACAGGGGAGGGTCGAAAAGTACAGACCTGGGGTTGTAACTACCTCTCTGGCTGTGACAGCTGTGTCCTCTCCCAGTTCTGTGCGATACTGCTTCATTTTCTCCAACATTGGCTCATCCGTGGGATAGAAGAGCAAGTAGGAAGCAGCACATTCAGCAGCCAGTGCCTGGTTCCCAACTTGAGCAGGGAAAGAACAGAACAGATATGTCTCTGAAAGACTTGACGTTAGCAGCAAATCTGTATAGGCCAGCAGCACCCAACGCCCCGGTCAGGATCCGGCAGTAGGAGGCCTTACACCGAGTACACATCAGTCCCTGTCTAGTTAGGCCTCTACCCAACGATGGGCAGAGAATACAGGGAATGAGCCTGGTGAAGAACAGGCCCACTTTCAATACCTATTGGGAGCTTGTTCAGAGGAGATGGAGAAAAAATAAGTATATATTTGGAAGAATAGACGGTCCCACCTCCCTCAGCCAACAGACATGATGAGGGGTCTGGAGGCTTCTTTGAGATACAAGTTTTACCAATGGTCTGACAGAGGAGATGAGAGACCGTTGGGTCAGCGTGGGAAGGAGCAGAGGTATCCAAGAGCTGGGGGATGTGTGAAAGTGACAGGGTGACAGGATGACCAATGTCATGACAGGCCACCAGTTCAGTGGGGCAGGCAGGGCTGACTCCGAAGGAACACCACAGTTGAGATGAGATGCATGCGCACGCCCTAGATAGGAAGCGGGGGCCTGGTCTGGAGCCACGTACTGACAAGGAAGGTATAAAATACACAGCGGACAGTTGGAGCAAGGACTTGGAATAATGGAGAGCGCTGGAGGAAACAAGTGGGAACAGCCGCACGTTACAGAAGCTGCACAAAGAGACTGAAGTGGACCACAAGGGACCAAGGGACCACAAGGTGGCCACAGGCTTGAGCAAGAGAAGAGAGGTTCTGGGAAGAGGCAGAAGAGGGGAGAGAGAGGTAGAGCTCAGGTCAGTGTGCCACTTCTCCCCATGACATGCCGCCCTCCAAGTCCAGAGGCAAAGGGCAAGTTTAGGGGTGCCACAGCATGACCCGCTGTGACTCCGCTCACCTTGATCGTAGGCAAACTGCAGTAAATCAAGATGAGAGGGTATGAAATCTTCCGTGGCAGAAATCCGTCCCGGCTTTGTGGCAATTTCAAGGACGCACTGCTGTCTACACTTCAAAACCTGAATATAATGGGCTGCAAGAGAGAGGAGCAAGAAAGGCAGTAGCTCACACTTCTTCCAGACAGGAGAGCTGGGAAATGGGGCTTGTCCAGTATGGAGAGCATGGCCTTCCTACCCAGCCCTCTGCGCCCCTAACGCTACCTGCAATGGCTTCATACAGGCCAGGTTGCATCTCCTCCTCCTCCTCGTCCTCATCCTCCCAAGGCCCTTCACACAGGGCACGACACTCTTCCAGTGCTGACAGTGCCTCTGTGAGTGACTCCTCCAGCTTGGCCGCAGCCTGCATGTACTCATCTGCATTGTAGTGCTGCACCCCAGCCTCATATGCTTCCTGCGAAGGACAGATCCAGGTCCCTCATCAGTGTGGGTGACACCAAAGGACGCCCTGAGACTCGGAGTCGCTCGCAGGATAGTGCTGACATCTAGGGGCCTGCCTGATCACGCACAGCCCACCACGCAGTGACAGCAAATCTTCTGGACTTAAGCCAAATACAATTCTCCAAGGCCCCGCAGCCTGCCGTAACTGTCAGCGGAAAGTCTCTGTGTCACACTTGCAAGCGTTTGTCTTCACCCTGAAGAGAAGGCTTCAGGGAGACCTTCTTGCAGCCTTTCAAATATAAACGGGGCTTATAAGAAAGACTGAGCTAGACTTCTGACCAAGGCCTGTAGTAACAGGACAAGGGGCAACGGTTTTAAAGGGAAAGA